CCTGATTAGTAATGTTATTTTATAGTTTACGTCAAAGTGGAGCCCCTTTAGTTCAACTTGCCATTGAAGAGGGCCATGATTTGTCACCTTGGATGAGTGCCATCATGGCAGCTGCTGTGCGCCGCAGTAATTCCTACCGACCTATTAGTCCCTTGGAAAAGGCCTTTACTTTATCACAACCACAGACACTCAAATCACCTTATGGCTATATGAAGATCAACATTCCATCAAATGACAATGAAGATGGAGGGAGTACTTATGAAGTACCAATGGAGTCCTTCTCTGTAAGCTTGTTATCATTATTTTCATACATGTACACTTATTTTACCTCTTCTGTAAGTGAACTCACAAGTGGACTTTGCAAGATGTCTTGCCACTCAAGATTAACCCTATTCAGTCTGGGCTTTTTTTTCAATCTGTGACTGGGGTGGGGGGGGGGCACACAATGATCGCCCACGTACAAAGAAGCTCCAAAAATAGTCTTGGCCCATTGATCCATAGGAACTAAATGTGACGTCATAATGGCGTCATTTATATCATTTTAACGATTTATAATGTTCTGATACAGTATGTACTGGTGTCTGACTTCACAGACAAGATACCAAACACGATACAGTTAACACCTGAAAATAAGAACCTTGTTTTTTGAAAGTCTGCCAAAAGAGGTTCTTGTTTTAAGGGGTAGCTGTTGGTAACTTTGGAAAAACAGGTTCTTACAATTAGGTTCTTAATTGCTAATAGGGGGATCCAGTTGTTATTGTTTTGCACATATATTATAAGAATAATAAATAAGCTTGATATGGACTAAAATTATATAATACTATAATGTTTTGTATAACTGTAACTGTTAACTACTGTAACAAGTAAACAATCAACTCAACAACTGTAAATGCAGTAAAAGTATTTGTACGCAATCTTCAAATTGAGTAACTTGTGGTTTGTTTATCCTGTAATTTAGCTCTAATTAATATTATAAGAACCTGCTTGATAATGTTTGACTAAAGAGGTTCTTATTAAGTAATAAAATATGAGCGGGAGACCTTTATGGGCATTTAAAACTGCGAGCTGCAAGCAAGCAGTTTTATAGCCCATAAAGGCCAGACACGAATATTTTATATTGCTTAATTATCAAATTCCAACATAAGATAAAACATGTTTCGAAAAAAACTTCAGGATAAAATATCATTTGTAAAAGAAAATCGAATTTAAAGTTGTATGCTAATCAGGACAAATCTCTTGCTCATATAAAGATGCGGTCACGGCAATGATTTTCCATTGTGTTTACCTTATGAATTATTAATGAATTTGATAAGGGTTATTAAAATGGAAAATTTCTGCCAAGTGGTTCTTCTTTTCGGGTGTTTACTGTATCTGATAAGCATTAGATAACAATCACATTACATTTTGGAATGATTATTGAGAGATGCTTTGGATTCTTTATTTAAATTCCTGCTACACACAATCCATTCTAATAAGATAACGTTGTTTTTTATCAAGGAAATGTTCAAGATCACTGGTTACCAGTCTACTCCTGTCCATGAAAGCGAGGCATACAATCCACCTTTACCACCATTACCCATTGACTCTGACTCATCATCAGAAACTAGTTCTGATTATGCAGATGGTGAAGATGCAGTTACTTCAAGCAAACAGTTAGAACAAGGACTTTTTGATAGAAAAAGGCAATCTTTGTTGGATGATGGCACTGACAGCCCTAGTGATCAGAGTAATCACTGCCTTAGTTTCAGTGAGTCATTTGTTAGTGATGAGGCCAAGTGTGAAAAGGTTGTAAGAAAAAGGTCTTCTAAAGCCCTGAGTAATGCTAGTTTGGATTCAGGGGGTTCTGGTTCAGAAATTACCGCCAAACAACAGGTAACAGTTGTGATTATTGTTGCATGAACTATACAGATTTCATTTAATGAGTTGAATCAAGAAAGGTGAGATTTAGGAAGAATACATGAGCCAAAAAGTTCACCTCATAACCAGCCTTCAGCCCTTCCTTATGACATGCTCTGATAAAAACAAATTAAAATGAGAAAATGTAAAATGAGTGAAGGTAGTACTCTGATGGCCAAAATGTTTAGACACAAGTGATTTAAATTTGTATTTATTTGGTGTTTTAAGTATACTAGAAAATCAAGTATTTCCAATGGTCCACGGACAAAGAGGAGAAGAAAGCAGACATCTGCTGAAAGTGAAGCCAAGTTTTTACAGGACCCTCTAGCCATTCATAGTGGAGTACTGTTTCAAAAGCGGCCCCTTGGTGTCTGGTCGAAGCGATACTGTAAACTAATGCATAAACAAATACTGTGTTACAGGTAAACAATAATTGCTATTGAAATTAAATTTATTAGACAAAAAAACCCACTAGTATAATCATTTGGCAGAAGAATCATTTTGGTTAATAAAACATCTTAACGAAAAGTTTCAATGTTTTTTTTGTAATATCTAGGCATGCTGATGACATAAAGCCGTCACTAACAATTGATCTCCTTGACCATGACATCAGTTTGATCGATAGCAAGGAATCCAAGAAAGCATATGGATTTAAAGTATCTCACCCCAGCCTAGAAAGTTACAGTTTTGCCACAGACTCCAGGGTGGCTGTGGAAAGATGGATTGAGCTACTATCCCTGGCAGCTACAGGCAGACATGACATTATAGCTCCTTACCCACCGTACTTTAAGGCTGACTCATCTGATGAACAACAATTAACAAAGTCGCACGATTCCTTGAATTTTGATGAGGTTAGATGGTTAATCGAGAATTGACAATGTTTACTGACCATGCAGCTAACTAAAAAAAAAAGGATTTTGTATTTTAGGCATCATAACTGAATGAAGAGGATTATTTACCAGCTTTTTGTTCCTCTTCCTTTAGATTTGTTATTATATATTAATTTATGATTTTAGACTTGAATGTAGAATCGTGATTGATGATGTACTCACTGATCATCACGTTGTTATTAATGTTATTATTTATTAATGGTTATAAACGTATTCAGGATGCCCTTGAAAGTGGTGATGCTACTGACTTCACTAGTCATAGAAGTAGGATAGATGACGACACCAGTTGTTTTGCTGCAGATGAACTGGACGAGGAGTTGTCTAGTGATGCCAGGTAACATAATTGGACATACATTACAGACGTTGACAATTGGAAGTGATATAAGACCAATGTAGATTGATAGAGCTTCTTGCATTATGATACTGTCGAACATTAGATCTCCTGCTGCTTAATAGCCGACTTTGAACAAAAGAGTTTCAGACGAGGCTCCAGGGAAACAGTGGATTATCTTGATTTATTCTTTTATTTCCCAGAGCCTCGTCTGCATTCTTTTGTGCATGGTCACTGAACCAAAATATCTAAAGTCGACTATTACATTATTTGTCATTCCTAGGGACGATAGTTCACATCACAAGTTAACTCAACGTCGTGTTAAGTCACCACCACGTAGATCAACTCGTCACGTTAAAGTCGGAGTACGAGAAAGAGCTCTAAGGAGAAAAGACGACAAGAAGACGAATGAAACGTCGAGCAAAGGTACAGTGTTGCGAGCAACAAATTCAACCAACAAATTTGTCCAAGAAATAATACATGTAGTTAATTTTCAGTGAAATCAGCCAAAATTTGATATAAAAAAGAACATAAATGGAGGATATTACATAAGCGCGTCGAGATGCGGATTTTATCTTCGCGTGTTGAAAAGATCAAAGAGAATTTCAACATGCGAAGATAAAATTTAACCAACAAATTTGTCCAAATCTTTCTAGATTCTTCGTACGTTGATCAAAGAATACTTACTAGTGATTCGGGAGGTGAAGGCAAACTTGATAACAGGGTATGAATTACATGACCGTTCAATTGGTAGCGATATATGTGGAATGTTGTATTGATATATTCTTGATGATTGGTCACAGTATCTGTGTAGCTTTGATGTGGTGAGAGTTAGATGGATTGCTGTGCTGTTGTATAGATGTAAAGTTGACACAAGTGTATGTGATATGTGAAACGTTTTGAGGTGGCGGTGTATTGGTTTGATTTGCGTCTTGAAGGATGGACGCGTTATCGGTCGGTAGATGTGTTGTATCTATGGTATTTTATGTTGTTTAGTTGTTCGTTGTGTTCATTTTAATAGTTGTTTGGCATTTTGGTACATGGAGAAGTGATGTGCGCTCTACAATCACAATGCATTTGGGCTTCTTTTATTATCAGTGTGAACCAATGTTGTTTGACTGTTTAAGCTCACTTTCATGTGATCTTTTTTTGTCTAGWACATAGTATTTTAATTAGAGATTCTGAATGTCTCAAGCGAGACATTATTGAATTGATTGGTTTTCTTGTGCCAACAAAAAAAAAAACGGCTGCCTGTATAGTGCCGAAACGGTACTAAGATCAGTTTGCGAACCCATAATTTTTCGTCTCTTCTGTCAATCACCTCACAGTTCCGCGAATAAGATTCTTCGTAATCAGCATTAGCTAATCACATAGTGAGAATGAACCTTCTGGTGTCGCGATAGAATGTGATCTGCAATGATATTCATTCAAACTATCATTACTTATCTCCAACAACTGTGAGCTATTCATCTCAGGCCCATCGAACTGTCAATTTGATTACTTTTTACCGACTTCGCATTACTGGAACCATAATTTTTATAATGGACTGAAAT